CTAACGTCACTAAACAAATACAAATTGGCCCCACATGTAAACTTCGTGTTCCGTTTCGTTTATACAGAGCTGCCTCTCTTTTATGTCTATAAAACAATTATACTTCTTAAAAACAATATCCGCTACATAAGGGAGGGGTAAGTTGATCCTCGGGGTAAGTTAAGCCTCCCCTTCTAAAGCCCATTTGAGTAAAGATGCACGAATGGTGGTGCCATCTGTTATATAGTCTCATAAATGATAGTTACTGATATAAGGTACAAGTCAATTTCATCAAAAACATAGAAGCTACCTACCAAAATCCAAATTTTTAACCCCAAAGTGGATTTCTTGAAAACCGGTTTCTTGTTTTCTATTTCATTCACCACGAAGACTTCACTGGGAAACGTTGGTCAAAAGATTACGACTTTATATGGTTGTAATTCTAGCATGTTGGTTTTGTTTGGTTTTGATGGGTGAAGATGCTGAGGCCTACTTAAGTTGTGTGATGACAGAATCTACCCCGTTGATTTATCTGATGTTATTATGTGGTACCTTGTATTCAGTATTATCAGGCTTATCACAACGCTGGAGAACAACGTATGACCTAAAATTGAGGCTAATGGGCCTTAGCCTATACAACATATATAATGTGTATCTGGATTAGAAGTCAACATGCTGATATTCTCATCGGCAGTTAATATACAAAACTTAACACATATGTAAATGAATTATATTACACACAGAAGTTTTGTGGAATGCGTTAATTTTCAATTTTTTTAAATACGACACTTCAGTGCTGCTGAATCTATCTATGGCATAGTCTTTCATTTTTAGTAGTTGTTTTTAACATTAGTTGGAACAACAATATGAATAAGCATTTGCATTTTTTGTGAAATATGACTCGGCTCAACATATCCCATGTGGTGGAACAACTTACCCCACCCTCGGGGTAAATTGTGCCCTTTGACCAAAACGTTTTGGGACCCCACCATTTTATTCTGGAATAGCAATATAACGCTTGTTGATGATGAACAACTTCTTAAACTATGCAGTGAAACTAGTTTTGACAGCGAATTATAGATACTTTGAACTCCAGGGCAGTTTTTTGTGGCAAGTGTCACAACTACCCCCCCCCCACCACCACCATGTAGTGTTCACGCATGACATCTCGGTTTTCAACTGAAAAACAGCCTTTCGATAGGTCTGAAGTCGTTGTCCATTCGCTGTTTTCAGACTTTATTTTACTGTATGTAACTCTGGTCTTTTTGTCCATGAATATACTTGGGAGGCTGAATGGTTTAACGTCTGCGCCTTAGATCATAAGGTCTGTCATTGAGTCAAATGGTGTAGTTCCAATTCCCTGCTTGTAGTTGTGCGTGACAGGGAGTAGGGTCGTCTGTCCAGCCTCATCGGTTTTCTGTGGGTTCTTCTGTCCCCCCCCCCCCCACTGCGATAAACCCCTACGACTGAACGAATTGTGTCAAATAATAGATTGAGTTGTTTAAAGATATATTTTCAGCATTGAATCTAGCGAAACTTAGATTTAGGTTTCAGTTTTATCACCATCATTGGTTAAGGAAGACTATTTTGAAAACTTGTAGTATTATTTGCCAGTCATCCAGTTTTCGCATTAGTTGATTCTGTTTCTTTCTTTTTTAACTAAGAAGGTCCACAAGATTCCAATATTCGACATTGTACTAAGAATAATGCACTCGATTAAACAGTGGGCAACCGTATGTATAAATAAGAAACGCATGGGTGATGTGGAAAGAAGAAAAGGATTTGATTTGACATATTTTGTACAATTTTGCTAAATGTCCATGTTTCTGCGATGGAATAGCACGAACAGTTGTCACCAATAACAAATTAAACGCACATTATGGCACGTCTTGCGAAAATTGCAGGAAATCGGCTTGAAAAGGTAATATTTTGTCGAATGAACAGAAAGGTAGTTAAAGCTGCAATCCTCGCAATGATGTCGCATTTACATTTCGACGTAGACGCGTTAGAAGTTGCCAAGAATACGCCCAGTAAGCAGTCACATGCCACATCAGAGCGCTTATCCAACGCCCCACACAGGAAGACCTAGTATATAGACTGCAGCAGGCAATCGCTACAAACGTTGCTCGATGCGAGCTAGATATGAGAAGGGTATCTGCACAAACAATTTCGAAACGACTTCGAGAAGCTGATTTACTGGCTGGGATACCGTATTTTGTGACGTTGACGTGTTTAACTAGTGGTGCCCCCCGAATGTACACGGGTGAAACGTTTGATACTGGCGGCAAGTATGTTTCAGCCACGAGCCACCTTTCTGTTTATAACGAACCGATATGGGACAACGTGTGTACAGGCGTCGCAATAAAGGTTTTGATAACAGCTGCCTGGCCGACAGAAGTGAACTTGTTTCATGGGTGTTTTCACATAGAACCAGCTATGTTTACCAAATTATAATTTTTTTTTAATATTTCAACCCATCACTGATTCAATTTAAGTGCGTGAGATAGGACTTCACTACAAAATGTGAACCCAAGTTAAAGATATAATATCGTCACAGAGACCATAGTACTACGCATGGTGCCTAAGGGGGGGGGGCGATTGGATGGCCGAATGGTTAGCACGTGCGCGCTGTATCATAAGGCCTTTCATTGAGTCAACTGGCGTGGTTTCGAATCCCCGGTTGTACGTGACAAGGATTAGGGTCGCCTGTCCAACCTCGTGGGTTTTCTCCGGGTCTCCCGGTTTCCTCCCACTGCTATAAACCTCTACGCGCAAGCGAATTATTGAAATAAAATTAAACCATGTTAGTCCCGAAATGACCTAGTTTGTGTCGAGTGGACGTTACCCCCCCCTCTCTCTCTCTCTCTCATAGTGCGTAAGACGATACTACAACCGAAGAGAATGTGATGTGAATATGTGATGGCCACACATGGTACTGATTGCGATATCTTAGTGGTTGGTCACGAAAATGTCTCCATAGCCACAATGTCTTGTTAAATTGGACTTTGGATACGATCATAAATAACGAGAGAGATGTGATCAAAGGTTGCATAATGTTACTTTTGCCATGGAAGTGTCCGCATTGTTTAGGTACAAATAGCACAAACTTTAAAGATACGTTCCCAGAAAAATATTTATCGGGTGCTAACTTCCAAAAAAAGTATGGCAATTTAGGTATATATGGAAAGTAGAAACATCCAATCTTACTAGAAAAATACTGGATTCCCTGAAAAACACCCATGAAGCACCTAAGAGAGAGAGAGAGAGAGAGAGAGAGAGAGAGCGTTTAACGTCCACTCGGGACTAACATATGGTTCAATTTTATTTCAATAATTCGCTTGCGCGTAGGTATCTTTAACAGTGGGAGGAAACCGGAGGACCTGGAGAAAACCCACGAGATTGAACAGGCGCTTTTTTGACAGAGTATGGTTTAGAGGTGACACTTTAAGTAGATCGATATTATGAAATCGACTGGAGTGTAACACCCAGTACTCTTAGTGGACGTCCATCTTTCCAGATGAAAATTCTTGAATAAATTCCATTTGGGTACCCATTAGAACTCCTATCTAGAGTTATAGTCCCTGCATTTTACGCTGGTTTGTGGTGAGTTGGAGGTCCCTGCATTGGCTGAATGTCTTGTCAGTGGTGTAAAGCAGAGGGCCTGACAAGGGACAACGTATAGTCGTTCGGACGGAACGAAAACCTGAGGTCCCTAGTACGCATTGACGTACACGTAAAAGATCCCCTGACAGTTGAAATTCGATAAGAACATCAACAAGTTTTTATAATGTAACGATAAAATTGATAATCCAGTATCGTTGCTGCGATAATAAACAATCTTCGATATATTATGTCCAGACTGATAACTTCATTCAGAATAGAGTAATTTGACTGAAATGTTCAATATATTCATTTTTCATTATCTATTTTTGAACTAACTATTATTGCAAGAACGGTCAGCATTTCCCTAATTCTTACATAATGCATATTTATTATATAAACATGGATGTGGTATAATAGAAAATATTTAATGGATAAACAATATAAGGATGTGATATAATAAAATAAATTTAATTAACAGTATATACGTGTTTATATAATTTATAGATAACAGTTTTTGGAATGTACAATATAAAATATTTAATTATGACCATTTTCGAATACTTTATATGATGCAATATATTAATAGTTAGGTTATTTTTAAGACATATAATACATTATATTAATATTGTAACTATTCTTAGATATAATGATAAAATATATTAAAGTCTCATCGCATCATTTTAGTGCTATATGAATCCCTCGCAAACAATTATAATGTGAAAGATGAAGCTATTATAGGAATATCGGTCTAAAAATGGTTCAATTCCCTTCAGTATTTACAAAGATATGTTGAATTGAAATTTCACCAATGTATTCGACTCGCTATATTATAATAAACAAGAAATACATTTGAAATTTCACCAATGTATGCGACTCGCTATATAACAAACAAGAAATACATTTTTTAAGAGATCAAATGGCTGGTTAAACAAAATACACGATACCATATTAAAAGATGAATTGACTGGGTAAACAAAATACATGATATTATATTAAGAGATAAATATTCAGACGAAGGATTGACTGTTGGATATAAATACATAATAATAATATGAGCAGATGAAATATACCGATAGGGTGACTGTAATGGGGATCAAGATATTTGTCTAACAGGGAACCTTAGATTATGACACAAAATGAGAGATTATATTTATTGATTAATATATTGTTTTAACTGATGCTCGGGTATTGGGCTGTAGCTACTCCGCTTTTCCACAATCATTTTACCGGAACAATAGTCTACACAAGGCATATTATCGAGGTGGAATTTTAATCGGATTTCATGTGATAACTTCCATGTAAGACATTTGTGACAAATTAATTAGGTATCAATATTAGCTTTTTTATTCGGTTTAAATTAAATTTCCAAACAATGTCTGGGAAATGCTACATCTGTCACTACTGATAACTTGCTATCAGTTCAATCCCTGCGATGGCCAAGAAAATTCATCGGGATTTTCGGCGTGCCCCCCCCCCCCCCTGTTAGTGATGCAGAACAAAGGGTCTGACAAGGGCCAAATTATAGTCGTTTGGATGGGACGAAAAACCGAGGTCACGCAAACACATAGAAGGACTATGAACAATTTATGAAATATTTTCTATTAATTTTTCTGGAACATTAAAAGCTTTTCCTATATTGCAAGTATATTCTACCAGATCTTATTCTGTGGTGTTTTTTAACACAAAAATTCCACAAAATATTGAACATAGAAAAATTAGGACGATGGCCGTAATAACTACAATTTGTTATATTCATGTATCACATTCAATATATGTGATACGTTTTCAAACAACATAAACCCGTCAGTCTGAATCTGGAACTGGAGACCGGTGTCCCAACCTGTATTATGCGGTGTCTAGATAAAACCAGACTTTTATTTTATAAAAATAATGTGTAGGTGACATTTACCCTTCGTTATCAAATACAGCACATTGTTTATTCACTGTATAGACCTCTAAAGGAACGGGAATCGATTATCAGGTCACCCAACGAAAAATTGATCAGAAATCTTAAAAGGGTTACGTGTTATAGGATAAGCAGTTTTGACGTTCACGTCCAAACGACTCAATACTTTGAGCTGAAATTTTGGGACAAGGTAAATACACCATTCCTCTATATTTTGGCGCTTAAATTCTATATTTACTCGGACTTTTATTTTTGAGACTCTGTTCAAATCGGGATCGTCCCTTTAAGCAAGCAAACAAATTGAAAAACAAAAACCGTGACCCACAAGACGCTAAAATATGAAAAATATTTATATCACATAAACTATTCGTTAATTTTTTTTTCAACGCCCAAAATCATGTTGAACTGGATTCAAACGGAACGTTTCGTGTACACTGGCGCGATAACCATCTTTGTAATGTTCAACAAGCCCTGACTATGCCCCGATTCCCTGTCGGGGATGATTGCCTAAAACGGAACAAAGAAGGGGCGGCCCTCCGGTAGGAAGGCTCGGGCAGGTGGCTTATAGATTTTAATTCGCCAATTTTTCCAAAAACGTGGACTGTCAGAATCCGACTCTAATTCAGAAAGGTAACCGCTTTTCTTATACTTTACGATCAAGTAACAGTGTATTTCCTTTTTATTAGTTACCACCATTTTTTAAAAACAAAACAATACTCGGCATGTCTCTCATCTCACGGACCCGAACTTTACCACTCTATAGAACTTACATGTAGTAACTTTACCACTCTATAGAACTTACATGTAGTAACTTTACCACTCTATAGAACTTACATGTAGTAACTTTACTATACAACTGTACTATACAACTCTATAGAACTTACATGTAGTAACTTTACCATACAACTGTACTATACAACTCTATAGAACTTACATGTAGTAACTTTACTATACAACTGTACTATACAACTCTATAGAACTTACATGTAGTAACTTTACTATACAACTGTACTATACAACTTTATAGAACTTACATGTAATAACTTTACCATACAACTCTAAAGCACTGTGATGTAGGAACTTTACAATCCAACTCTATAGAACTTACATGTAGTAACTTTACTATACAACGGTACTATACAACACTATACAACTTACATATAGTAACTTTACCATACAACTCTAAAGCACTGTGATGTAGCAACTTTACAATCCAACTCGATAGAACTTACATGTAGTAACTGTTTTATATAACTCTATAGCACTGTCATGCAGCAACTTTACGATATAACTCTATGGAATATACTTGTACGTACCCTCTACTTATCAAAATTATGTAGCATTTACGTCGTTAACCGAACCCTAGTAATTGTTCGTACTACTTTCTTACCTCAAATGCCAGGAAACCGACTCATATTTTCAAACGTTTCTCAGGGGTGAGACCTCTCCCTTCCCCGAATCCCCCTTCAGGTTTCGCTCGCTTATTGGAACCACCGACCCGATTCACAGCTTCTAAATCAACTACTGTATTGAAGAAGACCTTTATAAGGTCGACATATTGTAATTTTTGCGCCTTTAGATATAAGGAACATAATCTTTTCTTGTTGTTGAATCTTTGTTTTAAAACACCAGAATAAAGCTGTCATATTGTCATCGCCAATATAATTTACATCGTATCCTGCATCATTGACTAAAACTTTTACTGTATCTAATATTCCCAGGTAACAGCTATGGTGTAGTAGATAATTACATTTACTATAGTCGTCCTCGAACTGAAAGTAATCTTTATAATAATATGGTCGACAAATTATTATCGTAGCACCGCTTAAAATTAGAAAACTGATCTTTTCCATCTTTTGAATATCTGAATCGAAACAATTTAATAATGGAGTTTCATCGCCATACGAAATGTTGACATCTAACCCTACGTCATTCACTAGATATTCAACAGTTTCAATAGTACCCAAAGCACAAGCGGCATGGAGTAAATTCATAGTATGTAAATTTACTCCATTTGAAGACAGGAATTTTAGTTTTTTGACAGGACCTGTATTAGAACAAGAACAGCAAAATGCTGGTGTTTTACCGTTATTGTCTTTATGGTTGACGTCCATACCTATTTCTTTCACCAGGTATTCAACAGTTTCAACAGTACCCACGAGACTACTAAAGTGAAGCAAGCTCATATTAGTGTTATCCGTGGCATGTAAACTTACCCCTTTTGATGACAAGAATTTGAGTTTCTCGATGGGATTCATATTAGATGTAGAACAGAATATAGCCGTTGTCCAACCATGGTTGTCTTTATGACGGACATCCAGCCGTATTTCATTCACCAGATATTCAACAATTTCCACAGTACCCTCTTTACAACTACATTGAAGTAAACTCATATTATTGTTATCCACTGAAGATAAATCTGCCCCTTTTGAATACAAGAATTTGAGTTTACTGAAAGAATTATTTTTAGACACACAACAGTCTTTAGCCGGTGTCCAACCTTTAATATCTTTATGGTTCACATCCAACCCTATTTCATTCACCAGATATTTAACAGTTTCAATAGTACCTAATTCACAACTTACATGCAGTAAACTCAAATTATTGTTATTTTCTGTAAGTAAACTTGCCCCTTTTGAAAATAAGAATTTGAGTTTACTGACAGGAGTTATGTTAGAAATAGAACAGAACGCTGCAGGCGTGTAACCTTCACTGTCTCTATGACCAACATCCAGGCCCACTTCATTGATTAGATATTCCACAACCTGAAGTATACCGAATCTACAACTAAGATGAAGTAAACTACGGTTTAAACCATCAACCACATGCAAGCTACACCCTTTTGACAATAAAAACTTGAGTTTTTTGACAGGATCGATATCCGACACCGCAGAACAAAATATAGGAGTGCGACCATTCTTGGCTTTTTGATTAATGTTTAACTCTCTTTCATTCACCAAATAACGGACCGTGTCAATAGAACCATGTTGACAACTGTGGTGTAGAACACTACACTTATTGCCATCTACTACATCGAAATCCATTCCTTTATTGTGTAAAATTCTCATCTTATCAACAGAAGCACAGCACATGAATAAAATACTGTCACTTAAATGACTGATATTAATTTCATTTACATAACTTAAAATTGATCTAAACATAGAGTCGTCCAGTAACTTTGTCGATTCAAGAATTATCGTATGGATATACTCAGCGTCCAGGATATCAAAAGACGTCACCGTGTTAATTAGTAATTCGAAACACTTTCTGTCAGCATTAGCTATTATATCTTGTAATGGAATTCGACCGAGTTTATCAGCCTCATGTAATAGTGACCCAGCCTGGATTAACTGATTTAGAATATCGGTTACTTCGACATCAGTTCTACCGCCAAGAGAGCTGCTAAAATTATGAATGGGTAATCTGCCTACATCATCCGCCACATTAACCTCCGCGCCTTTGCTAATTAAAATGGATACAGTCTGTGGTTTGCCTCTCGCAACAGCCAGGTGAAGTGGCGTATTACCACTGTCATCTGCAGCATTTACATCAAATGCCGTATCTATCAGAAAATTAATTATTTGACTATTGTCATACTTTGAATCGCAAGCATTGTGGAGAACTGTTCTTGACTTAGTATCGCGCTTGCTTTTGTCGAAGTTTGTGAAATTACTGATATGTTTAACAATTTCAAATTTATCCGAGTAAACCGCTAAATGTGGTAACGCCAGTAAATCTCCAATTTTCTTTTCTTTCAAAAGATTTATTTTTTCCATAGAGTCATGCATCGAAACAGTAGCGAGGCCGATGATATCCCATTCCATATCTGTTTTTTCCGCAACTAAATGGGGTAGAAAATCTTGAAAATAAACGAGCACTGCTTTGAGACATCTCATGTCTCCATGAAGTGTGATGTAATGAAGAAAATTGCCACTTTCCTGTATTTCACGAATATCTCCCAAATTTATAAATTTGGTGTCGTGCAACAAATTGGCTATACCATTCATGCCAAGAAAATGAGATAAAAATGTATAGTCAATGAATGCAGGATGACTGACGATATCAGCATTCTTATCTTGTAATTCTTTAATACATCGCATTGAAAGGTCATCATAATAGCATTTACGGATTATAATGCACTGATCGTCTTGGTGGTTTGTTCTAACCAATGCCATCAAAAGTTCAAAAGAACAGTATTGTAAAGCCATTTCCATACATTTACCAGAAAGATGGTGTAAAAATGGAGCCTCAACAAAGTCTCGCAATGAAAATATTTTCACATAATTTGATTCAATGTATTTAATGAATGTATATGAAAGTTCATTGACTTTACACTTTGCAACTTTCAGTTTAAATTCTTTACATACTTCTTTAATAATTGTCGAAATTAAAGACTCGACTTTCTTGGAAGATCTTTGTTTAAGGTCTTGTTCTGAAACTTCATGCAAACAAAATACTAGCAGTAATGTAGCATATATATCTTCATTTTCCTTCCAAAACGTTTCTAATTCCAAAATAAGAAAATCATGCGAACTATCGAAACCCTCCGGTATTTTATCATTCGTTAAATTGCTACACAAACTAACAATCGATGGAAAACCGAAGCAGTCAGAAATTTTGGAAATGATCTGATCAGAAGTTACACTATAAAAATCTAACAAATGACGTTTTTCTTCATTGTTTAAAGAAAATTGGCTTTTATGAAGAAATATTCGAGTTGTCTTTTCAGTATTATCCCCAAATAAATGATATTTGTCTAATTGATATTCAGACGAAAGGTAAATATAATCTCTCATTACATAAATGATAAATAAATTGCCTCTTTCTTTATTAATGCGAAGAGTACGGAAATGGGTGGGCCATTTATCAATACGTGCCTGTAATTTATTAAATTTACCATACATGTCATCGATGATATATAGATACTTATCATCTTTAAAGTTGACTTCCTTTAAATCATCCATGTCATAAATCAATAATGGTTTATATTCAGGACGTTCTTCAATGAACTGATTGGCTATCATCATTGATAGAATTGTTTTACCATCTCCCGCGGCTCCTATTATTCCCAAGATGTGTTGACTCTTCAGTATCTTCAAACCCTCACCAAAAGCACGAGTCTTTACGTATTTTTTTTCTTTAACATCATCAAGGTTGGTCAGTGCTTCGCCTGTAGACAAATATTTTAGTTTATAGAAATGAGGAGTTGTACAATGATTCACACAAAAAAAGATCTGTGGCCTATATCTATTCACAAAGTGTTGGGCTAAAGGGACGTAAATCTTGCACTGAAGGTCGCAGAAAGCTATTTATCGACAGGGTTCGTCTTCTCAATCATGCTTCAAACAAATTTGAAAAAAATCTGTTAAATATTATAGCCCCTATCACGTTTACAAACGCTACAATTTTTGTCCGATTTTTTTTGGTTAAGAATCAAAAGATCTTGAATGAATTTGGTTTTGGTGCGCATCAAAACACGTCTGTCAATTCGATGTCAAGTAGTGGGACAATGAGGGAATGAGTCCTATTGACTTTCCCTTTCAAAATATGGGCGTATCTTGTATGACAACCTCTTTTTTTCCTTTTGAATTCTGCACTTTCTACAGGTAAAACCTACCTTTCATTACCCTCAATCGTGGACTGTCTACATTCATTTTACCTGAAATAGATGTGAATATAAAACATTCACTATGTACAGAAGACTATGTTAGCTTGTTTGGTTGATCATGGTGCAGGTTTTTATGATAAAATTGATAAGGTGTCTAGGGGAGCAAATTGCATTTGCAACATTAATAGAAATTCAAGTATTATTTTACGGGTTTATATGAGGAGTACTATTTTAACGTTGGGATCTTTCGACAATAAACTATCATTCTCCAGTACTATAGTATGTCCCTTTGTAAAAATAAGTACATACTGACCATCGTTTACAAGACATTTAATTTTGTCACTTTGTTGTGTATTAAATGATAGTATTTTTGGATATTACAGTAAGGCAAATAAACTGTGCCCACTCAAGACCGGGAAACTCATCTAATTCAAAGATAGCCTCACAAATTCCTCGAAATTCGCCCACTCAGCAGCTATGTCTCCACAGCAACTTATCCGACCGGAAATCTTGGGTGCTAATCAAATTTGTCAAGGATCATTAATACATTCAAGATATCTATTATCTATCGCGTTCACAACGTTTTCGGCAAAACGGGATAACCCCTGGATGGAAAATAGTAGAACGCTAAATATCAAAGGGGTTCTTACTCCCAAGATCTATTTCTTTCCCGCGAAATCTAAAATAAATCTGGAACAAATGCACCACAACATCCGTAGTAATCACCATTTACACGCAGGCTTTTACTAACTGGTTCCAAGTAGTAAAAATATCTGGCCATGATAATATTACAGATGTTTTATTTACTTACCGTATAAGTCATTAGTGTCTTTAAATTTGTTATCTGTAGACATATTTGGTTGGTCTGACCCACCTCTGCAATAACCTGAGAGTAGAATATATTACACTTTATTTGGTACCGTCAGCAATAAGAGATATAAATAAATAAAAATGACATACACCACAACCAGAAGTCGTAAAAATGTATTTCATTTCCTTGCAATTGTATGTAACGTCCACTCGACACAAACTAAGTCATTTTGGGGCTAACATATGGTTCAATTTTATTTCAATAATTCGCTTGCGCGTATGGGTCGTTAGCAGAGGGAGGAAGCCGGAGGACTCGAGGAAAACCCAGGAAATCATAATTGGTACGGATCCTTTCGTACATGTCCTCGGGTGGTCTCCCTTTTTCGACTATGCTATGTAATTTTTCTGTAACCACCCCTCTCTTCCCAAATCTATCCTCGGGGTTCCCTGCTTTTGGTTCATGGACTGCCTTTAATTCTTTGTCTGTAATATTAGTGAACATAAATATTTTTTTTTACCTTTACAATCATTACTGTCAATCTTATTACTATGTCGACATATTTCATCTATGATAAAAATTTGTATAACCATAGCAACAAATCGTTACATTTCATCTATGTATCTTTAAATTTATTGTAGGTGAAAACTTTAACTGAATAGTATTTGTTGTGAAATGAATTATAATTAATTATATAAACTAATACGATTCTAGTCTGAACTGTATGTGTTGTGAATTGACATTTCATTATTATAATAAAATCATAACTAACTTGATATTAATCGTCTAACAGCTGCGGAATAACCATTTTCCTTTAATGCATCAATAAATTTTCCATAAGCTGTGTCACCCGAGTATAAAACTATTTTCAATAGTTTAGCGGCAGCATCTGAATTACTACCCAAGACAGATCGTTCTATTATTTCTACATCATTATCTTCGAAGACACGCTTTTGAAATAATAAACGAGCAAGACCAACAGGGTCATGTTTAATATCCTCTATAAGATAAGTATAATTATCCTGTATCCTGTTATATTGGTCATTAGGAAGTTTTCCATTTCGAAATGGCATTTTGCAAGCGTTTTTCTAATGCACTATAAATATTCTCTCAACAACAATGTTAACTTCAGTTTAAAATCTTTGACTTGACCCTTTCTTTTTCTTCGTTTCATTCTATACCTGAAAAGAAAGACATAAAACATGTATAGATGATAAGTATAGGATACCAGACAATAAAACACACGCCCACAGCAGCTAAGTTGTCCGGAAATGCAATATAAATTTGTCGTATTGTGAATCTTAAGCTAAATGAGAGCTGTTGTTTACATTTAATATCTTTTCGCGCCGCAATCATTCTATATATAAACAAGAGCAGTAACTCTTTAAGTATATTTATTCTATTTATTAACACGGCATTTTCATCCATCCAAATAATAGAAACACAGACAGTACCTCTGTAAGTAAATTATAAGAAGTAATAGAAACGAAGAACATCAACTGAAAGAAAATCAGATGATGACTATCGCTGTGAAAGCATTCATACAATTTTACAGAATAACACATAATATACGGATAGGATGCACACTTTTGTCGCTGGACCTTTTACAAAATTCTACAAAATGTACAAGGGTAATAGGATTTATGAAAAACCGATAGATTTCTTCGGCTCATGAATCTGGACAGTGCATAATATACATAATTTATTCGTTAACTTTTGTCGGTTGAGAGTTTATAAGATTCTCTAAATAGAACAAGGGTCAATATTGATGTCAGCCATTATCACATATGGGATAGAACTGGTTAAACACGTTCCAAATAGTTTTAACACAGAGGGTGTTCCATCCCTGCATTTGTCGAGAAAGTTCATCGGGATTTTCCGGTGTGGTTCCTCCTTGTCAGTTGTGCAGGATAGAGGGCCTGGAAAGGGACAACGTATAATCGTTCGGATTTAACGCAAAACCGAGTTTCCGTGTACACATTGGCGTGCTCGTAAAATCCCTTGGAATTCGATATAAGAGTCCGGGTAAAATTTCCCTCGTAACACACAGTATGGCGTATGCCCGTCTTCATTAGCTCAGTCGGAGCAGAACAGTAGAACATTAAACCCCATTTCATTTCCGGTCGGAGTAGGACGTTAAACCCCATTTCATTTCTAAGAATTATAATGGACAGCTGAATTTCCATTCCTCCTCATGTCATGTGACAAACAGTGGTTCTTAAAATAGATTTTTGTGGTATGGGGTAGTTGCAGCAGGAAATTGCAGCAAACATTTAATATATAAATTAGTTTGAATATGTTTTTAGTATGTAATGAAATGAAATGAAATGAGGTTTAACGTCCTACTGTTTTGCTCTGAACTGGGCTAATGAAGACGGGCATACGCCTTACAGTGTGCTATATCGAATTCCAACTGTCAAGGAATCTTTTACGTGTACACGGGGCCCCGGTTTTTCGTCTCATTCGAATGACTAGACTGCTGTCCTTGTCAGGCCATCCGTCCTGTGTCACTTACAAGGGGGACACACGCCGGAAAATATGGATGAACTTTCTCGGCCAATGCAGGGATCGAACACCCGACCTCCAGGCTAGGGAGCCAACGTTTTACCAACTTAGCCACCGTGACCCCCTATATATGTAATGAAATAAAGATTTGGGGGCGCACCAACGAATCACTTTTAAAAAATTTAATTTACTTTCCCGAGAATACATGACTTTTCATAATATGTAAGGATATAAAACTACTGTATGTTTAGGTATATGGAAATATATTGTTACCCAAAATATGAAAATAGACATACCTTATATGGGAGGTTCACGTGACCATCCATATACGGTCGTCGTCCACCGGGCAATGAAAAGTCGAGAATAAATTTACTTTGATATAATTTATTAATTGAAACGTTGAAGCTGTAACGCTTACAAAATTATGTTTATGAATGCTCGAGATTACGACAACAATCAATCCGCAAGTCTATTTTGTCGTATGATCGCGTCGTGATGTCGTATTATGCAAAGAACGACATTTTATATGGTCACTATCAGCCACCATAGTATTATATGTTCACGTGACCGTTCCGTATAGGGTATACGCCCTACTTTGTACCCTGTCCGATACGTGGGTTGACAAGGCATAATGCAAAAAATATGTAAAGTAGATAATTCAAAGTTGTATGAATTTTATTGATTATTGATTATTGTAGTTACTATTCTAGCCGCTTCGAATACTCGATATAATATCAGCATATTTGAGTGATAAGATAGCGACAAGCCTTAAAAGGCATGCATGAATAACCAGGATGTTATATAAGGTATTACCCATATACTAAATAGCATCGGTTAGATGAGCTAATTCTTAGAAAACCTTTTGTTATAACACAAACATTCCTGCATACTAACTTGGTCAATCTGGCAAATTGACTGATACTCCCTTTTTCCTGGCCGTCAAAATAAATCAGCTTTAACCAAAGAACAAATTTGATTATAGAACAGAAAAGGTACTAGTCGGAGATTATATAACCCACAAACCTAATTATATAACAGAAATGGTCCTAGTCGGGGATTATATAACATACCCAAAAACAACAAAAGACATTAGAACCGTTTAAAATGCAGAACACAGCAGTGCTATTAAAAAAAATAATATTAGCTATGTGAGCTCCCAAACTGTGGAATGGTGTCAGGTTTTCAGTAAGAAAGTAGAAAGTAAAATAGTCTAAAAAAACAGAAATGACATCAATCAAAACAAGACAATACATGTTATAGGTCCAATTTGCTGGCAATTTGAACTACGAGGGAATCGATTAGAACCATAATTAGTTACAAAACAATCTGGATAACAAAAATGTAACCTAAAGTAAAATTGCTTACCTCGGCTTAAAAAGTAAAATTGGTGATATTAAAATTCCACCTACTCACAAAATATGTTGTCCTGTCCTCAAAATATATTTCTCGTTACTAAATTAAACACGATATTACGTTTTCAACTCACACATATGTGGGGAGCGACTAGTTTAACGTTAGACCCAAATGACCCCTCTCACGCATACACGAGTTTTCACAATACTAGCTGACGTGGACAGATACTTGTAGGAGATATGTTTATAGACGTATTGAAAAATACATTTTGTTGCGTTGTTGAATGTGTAAAACCGAAATATTTTGATCTCTTGAACTGTAGTATTTTTAATACATAAATAACGTAATAAATTTTAACTAATGAATAAAGACAAGACCTGTCTTATTATATGTTTTATTGAATTGGAAGAAATCGAAAACAGATTTAACACCCCGTGTGGATATTGCTTTCAAATATTATGAAAGGGTTAGCAATAAAATTGAATTTATTATTATGTTATTATTAAACATCCTGTTCTGTAGTCGTCTCAACATCCTGTCACGGGTTACGTCTGCTACACAACTCAATAGAAACAGTAGAGTATTGTAAAAGAAAATAAGTCTAAAGAGTAGCCTGACATTGTGACAAGGACACCTGTCTAGTCTTTCGCGTGAGACAGAAACCGAGGTCCCGTGTATACATTGGAATGCACGTAAAAGATCCCTTGGCAGTTGGAATTCGATATAAGAGTAGGCGATAGTGCCGCTGCCCGGGCAAAATTTCCCTCATAGCACACTGTATGGCGTATGCCCGTCTTCATTAGCCCAGCATAGGAGCAGAACAGTAGGACGTTAAACCCCATTTCATTTCATTTGTCTTTTAAAAAGAGTAATTCATAAATATATCTCAAGTGAAAAGGTTCAGCCTAACTACGACAGTTTTACCTGTCTTGTGGGTGTTATGTAGATCCGGGTTCGATTCCAGTGTTGACCGTGAAAGTTTTTCGGAATTTTGTAGTATGGTTTCCCCATATCAGGTTGTGCAGGGCGGGTGGGCCTAATCGTTCGTATCGGCCAAAAAAGGGTATTGAGTACACATGGGGGTTATTACCTTTTGAAATTCGAATTAAAAGTAGGTCACAGGGCTGCTGTCAGGGCAAAAGCACACTATAATATGGCGTATGCTAGGCATTTTGAATTTAAGTAAATCAGGCCCTTTCCCCGCGGCAATTTGAATTTATGTAAATTAAGCCTTTCCCCGCCCCAAAAATCAGAGAACGGTGGATATGTTGTAGAGGATGATCCCACAAACACAACGGTTCCAAGAAACCTTCTGTTACAATTTGTTCTAGACCATCTCTTATTTTAACTGGGCTATTAGCCCGGATAACAGATAGCAACAACGCATAACTCCCTGCACTATAGAAAGATTTCTCTAACATTACCCTTAGCCAGAATGACGTTGCAGATATCATTTCTACCATTGATTCCTCAAAAAGCTAACGGACCCGTTAACATCAGCGGAAAACTAATAAAAATATCCAACAAAATTTCTGAACCTCTATGTAAATTATTTAACCACTCTTTCTCTCTTATCGAAAGTGGGGGATCACGTGGGTAAAACGCTGGCTCGCTAGCCTGGAGGTCGGGTGTTCGATCCCTGCATTGGCCGAGAAAGTTCATCCAGACTTGGCAATGATGCAGGACGGAGGGCCTGACAAGGACAGCTGTCTAGTCCTTCGGATGAGACGAAAAACCGAGGTCCCGTGTATACATTGGAATGCACGTAAAAGATCCCTTGGCAGTTGGAATTCGATATAAGAGTAGGCGATAGTGCTGCTGTCCGGGCAAAATTTCCCTCATAGCACACTGTATGGCGTATGCCCGTCTTCATTAGCCCAGCGTAAGAGCAGAACAGTAGGACGTTAAACTCCATTTCATTTCATTTCTCTTATCGAAAGCAGTGATGAATAGCTGGTGACCCATCCGGTCGTAGAAAATATAGGCACATATCATTCTAAGTGTAACCAGATCACAAAGTGATGGATACTATTTTCTTTTTCTTGTTTAATCCTTATTGTCTATTCATAGAATTTACTTTGAAGCGAATTGTACCTCGGGTTGAAGGCCTCTGTCCCTTTTGGTTAACACGAGATTTAACTTACTGTCATTCCAAGCCTGGGCAATCATGGCGTCTTTGATAGTTGAATTGTTTCATTTACTATTAACGTTTAGCTGCATTTGGCCTAAAGTTAGGAAAAGTACTAGAATTTAGTCATATCAATTTTGCATATAGGATTTAGAAGACAGGTCATACAGAGTTATGCTAGAGTAATATAATATATGATAATATAGCAACTCGGAATTTAGTTTTAACCATTGTAGTCAATTTATTTTAAGTTGTCACTGTAAAAGTATAATATATTTTGAGTTGGTATATTATGGTAATTCTTATTTCATGGTTAATCCTGATTACTCAAGAGAGCATATATTTAAATTTTAATTGTGAGTTGAGCATTGCTAGTCAAAAATTAAAATCACAAGCCCATTACAATTATTTTCATTTCAAAGCCCCTTTTAATGTTTATATTGTCATTTGAGCATTTCTTGTTATTTGTATTTTTCAATGTCATCACCTTTTTATACGCCCACATTTTCATGTGGACGTATATTGTCGTCGCCCCTGTCCGTCCGTCCGTCCGTCCGTCCACAATTGTTTGTGAACAGTCTACAGGTCACAATTTTTATCCGATTTCAATGAAACTTGAAATATAGGTTTATCACCCTAAGATCTCGGTTCCTGTCGATATTGGCATCTATCGGACTATAACTTCATGGATTATGGCCCCTGATTGTACGAAAAATCACGTTTTTGGCTTGTGAACACTGTTGAGGTCACAATTTTTATCCGATTTTGTTGAAACTTGAAATGTAAGTTTATAACCCAAAGATCTCGGTTCCTTTCGATATTCGCGCATATCGGACCTTAACTTCCTGAATTATGGCCCCTGATTGTACGCAAAAACGCGTTTTTTGGCTTGTGGAGCCTATAGAGGTCATAATTTTTATCCGATTTAAAAAATCATATTATTATATCACCGTTACACCCTGAGGACGGTTGAGTTCGAATTTCGTGAAAATCGATCCAAAACTGACAGACAAAATGGCCGCCGTTCGTTCTCAGATAGCGTAAAAATATGGTATATCAAGGTTGTGGACCCTATAGAGGTCACAATTTTTATCCGATTTTGTTGAAACTTGAAATGTAAGTTTATAACACAAAGATCTCGGTTCCTTTTGATATTCGCGCATATCGGACCGTAACTTCATGAATTATGGCCCCTTATTGTATGACAAATCGCATTTTAGCTTGTGAACCCTATAGAGGTCATAATTTTTGTCGGATTTAAAACAAAACGTTTTATTATATCACCATTAAACCCTAAGGACGGTTGAGTTCGAATTTCGTGAAAATCGGCCAAAAACTGACAGATAAAATGGCCGCCCTTCGTTCTCAAATAGCGTAAAAATATGGTATATCAAGGTTGTGGACCCTATAGAGGTTACAATTTTTATCCGATTTTGTTGAAACTTGAAATGTAAGTTTATAACCCAAAGATCTTGGTTCCTTTCGATATTCGCGCATATCGGACCTTAACTTCCTGAATTATGGCCCCTGATTGTACGCAAAAACGCGTTTTTTGGCTTGTGGAGCCTATAGAGGTCATAATTTTTATCCGATTTAAAAAATCATATTATTATATCACCGTTACACCCTGAGGACGGTTGAGTTCGAATTTCGTGAAAATCGATCCAAAACTGACAGACAAAATGGCCGCCGTTCGTTCTCAGATAGCGTAAAAATATGGTATATCAAGGTTGTGGACCCTATAGAGGTCACAATTTTTATCCGATTTTGTTGAAACTTGAAATGTAAGTTTATAACACAAAGATCTCGGTTCCTTTTGATATTCGCGCATATCGGACCGTAACTTCATGAATTATGGCCCCTTATTGTATGACAAATCGCATTTTAGCTTGTGAACCCTATAGAGGTCATAATTTTTGTCGGATTTAAAACAAAACGTTTTATTATATCACCATTAAACCCTAAGGACGGTTGAGTTCGAATTTCGTGAAAATCGGCCAAAAACTGACAGATAAAATGGCCGCCCTTCGTTCTCAAATAGCGTAAAAATATGGTATATCAAGGTTGTGGACCCTATAGAGGTTACAATTTTTATCCGATTTTGTTGAAACTTGAAATGTAAGTTTATAACCCAAAGATCTTGGTTCCTTTCGATATTCGCGCATATCGGACCGTAACTTACTGAATTATGGCCCCTGATTGTACGAAAAATAGAGTTTTTAGCTTGTGGACCCTATAGAGGTCATAATTTTTATCCGATTTAAAAAATCATATTATTATATCACCGTTACACCCGAAGGACGACTGAGTTTGAATTTCGTGAAAATCGGCCCAAAACTGACAGACAAAATGGCCGCCCGTCGTTCTGAAATTGCGTAAAAATATGGTATATCAAGGTTGTGGACCCTATAGAGGTCACAATTTTTATCCGATTTTGTTGAAACTTGAAATGTAAGTTTATAACTCAAAGATCTTGGTTCCTTTCGATATTTGCGCATATCGATTTGTAATTTCCTGAATTATGGCCCTTGATTGTAGGAAAAATCACTTTCGTTTTAGCTTGTTTTCTATCCATCTCTCGAAAATGTGGGCGTATCCTGCCTGGAAGCCGCTGGTTTTCTTGATTATCATCATTGTTGATATAAAACGACAGATTAAACTTCATAAATAGATGTTACTCATCACCGCACACATACTATAGAACCGTCCGACCGCTCGCATAAGTATCTTAGTTAAAATATTCGAAAAAATGCATTATTAAAATGTCTTCAACGTCCTATGGGACAATTCTGTTTTAACTAACCCTCAAAGCGGATTTTTGCATGGGAATTCTAGTGTTTACCATGCAATTACTTATGCCCTCGTCAGACCGGGATGGCGTCCTTACTGTACTGCTGCGACCGAACAATGTCCAGAAAATGCACAAGGTCGCAGGCAAACGTGAACACAACACGAAAAAATGTCCCCAAACATTGCAAGATTGAAAAAGGTCGTGTTCTCACAGCTTTCCAGGTCAGATCGCAGAACCCTGGCGTTTGTTTT